CACTTTAAGCTCACTTGGCTTTTTAGTTTCAGCTCATCTGACTTATAGCAAAGCGTGCCAATGTCATGGCCTACATTTGGTCCAGGCATCTATAAGTATCTCCTTTTTGTTAAGCTGAGTTTTCTTCACCCTCAATAATCTTCAGGGTATACATTACGATCACTCTCCACTATACCCTGGATGCATCGACGGCTTGGCCCGATGATGTTTATTACCTCCCTTGGCTGGCTTTTTATCCAATCAGGTGTCGACGCTGGGAAGTAGAGTGAACCAATCACAACTCACTTTCGCTTCTTAAATCATCTAACCATTAATCTTAGGAACACAATTGATGCAGAGGTACCCTGAAAGAGGTAGAAGGAGTTCCATTAGATATTTTTTTAAAGTTTCAGGTCTGTGAATTTGTATGCATGATTTTCCCCAAAATCTGAGTGGCACCGCGAACAAACCTTCGCGACTGAGACCGCTATCTTTGTTGACACTGGCAAGCTCGGATTTAGCGGCGGCTTAGCTGATTGGTTACTGTGAGAATGCGGAGCCAGCAAAGGGAGGTAATATAATTATCGGGTCAAGCCGTGGATGCATCCAGGGTATAGTGGAGAGTGATCGTAACGTTTACCCTGGAGATTATCGAGAATGAGTTTTCTTAAACTATTTTGAAATTGAGTTTTCATAGGTGAGCCATATTTAGAAAAACAACATTTTGATTGCCATGTTGTTCAAAATGTATTGAAAAGTTAAATATTCAAAGCAAAATTTTAGAATCCTTTGTTAAGAATGCTATAGTAAGTAAACAACATGCTGTATCAATTTTCTTTGATCTTGAGAAAGCTTATGATACGACCTGGCAGCATGGCATTTTGAGGGATTTACATGACATTGGTTTGAGAGGCCGTTTGCCTCTTTTTATATCACGGTTTTTAAAAGACAGACAATTTCAAGTCGGAGTGGGTTCAACCCTGTCTGATCATTACAATCAGGATCAGGGTGTCCCTCAAGGCAGTATTTTGTCTGTCACTTTATTTAGTATCAAGATCAACAGTTTATCCAAGGTTTTAAACGATTCCATCGATGGGTCACTTTTTGTGGATGATTTTAATATTTCTTGTCGTGGTAAAAATATGCATACTATTGAACGGCAATTGCAGTTGTGTTTAAATAAAATAAATAAATGGTGTCTTGAAAACGGTTTTAAATTTTCCAAGTCCAAAACTAATTGTCTACACTTTTGTAGAAAATATAAGCCGCATAAAGATCCAGAACTATCTTTAAATGGCACTCCCATCAAAGTTGTTAAGGAGGCCAGATTCTTAGGTCTAATTTTCGACTCCCATTTAACTTTTTTGCCGCATATTAAATCACTTAAAGCCAAATGCCTGAAGGCACTCGATTTGTTGAAAGTTGTTTCCAACTCAAAGTGGGGAGGGGATCAAGCTACCCTCCTCCACCTATATCGATCATTGGTCTGCTCGAAACTTGATTATGGCTCTATCGTATATGGTGGAGCCTGCAAAAGCAACCTAAAACTACTTGATTCTGTCCACCACCAAGGCCTAAGACTTTGTCTTGGGTCCTTTAGAACCTCTCCTATTGATAGTCTATATGTTGAAGCAGATGAGCCTTCTCTTACACAACGTCGTATAAAATTTTCTTTACAATACATTACTAAACTATATTCTAGCGAGTCTAACCCTGCATTTAACTGTGTTTTCAATCCCCTCTATGAGGATTTATACAACAAAAAGCCTTCTCTTGTTCCGCCTCTTGGGCACAGAATTAAGCCGTTCATTTCTGCTGCCGGCATTGAGCTGGAAAATATAGCTCCTTCCCGTCTTCTTTTCTTCTCCTCCTTGGCAACTGGTGAGGCCTGAAGTTGACCTAACTCTGACAAAGTAACTAATGAATTACAATATAAACAAGAATATAATCAATTAAAGAATAAATATAATACTTACAAATCCTTATTTACAGATGGGTCCAAGGATGGTGGCGCGGTGGCATGTGCCACTGTCATTGGATCCCGAACAATATCTTCTCGACTACCAAATAACAGCTCTATTTTCACAGCAGAAGCTAACGCCATATTAACAGCTCTTAAATATATTAATAAACATCGTAAATATAAGCAATACATCATCTTTTCCGATTCTGTTTCTTGTCTTCAGGCTATTAAAAATCTTTTTTGTAAACATCCACTTTTATTAGGAATTATTTAATTGTATAATGAGCTTGCTACTGGCCAATGCGACATCGTCTTTTGTTGGTTACCCAGCCACCTTGGCATTTCTGGAAACACCATGGCTGATCTTGCTGCTAAGGCAGCACTCAACAAATCTGTGACACCACTTCTTATTCCATACTCTGATTACAAAGCTAGCATTAGAACTTACATCCGTGATCTGATGCAGAAGAAGTGGGACACCCAAGTAGGTATTAATAAATTACATGCAATAAAACCCTACATTGGTTACACCTACTTGGGTTGTCAGTCCAGATTTGAAGAGGTCATTATGCGGCGATGTCGCATTGGCCATACAAGGTATACCAATGAATATTTGCTTAAAGGCGAAGATCCTCCGTTTTGCATCCCTTGTGATGACTGCATTGAATATTCCATCACAAGGGATAACTATTTCAAAGTACACACTATGAAGGATCTTTTTAATAAAGTTAGTTCTCATTTAATTATTGCATTTTCAAAAGAATTAGATTTGTTATGTGATTTGTAAATAGATATATATTTTATTATTGGTAGTTTGAATTAGTACCTGAGATTGTTAGTGGCTGTATCCTCGAAGGGGGTTGAAGTATTGTAAAATTATTGTCCTCCTGAGAGGGTACGTAAGTCCCAAAACATTTAGTCAATTTAAGTGTACCAGGTTTTTAATCGTAGAATATGTGTGCTTTTAATTTATTGCTAGATTTCTCTTCTGTCGCCAATGGCTGAAGGGATGGTGTAAATCTAACTAGGGTCCATGCAGGTAGCAAAGGTACTGTAAGTAGTCCCCATGGTCCCTAGTATGGTGATCTACCTTCAGTTGTTGGCGATTTATAGCCCATTTTTACATTGTATTGTCTTCTTTAATTGGAATATTTTAGCTTTGTTCGCTAGTTTTATATTGATATCTGTGATTATCTAGTATTTCTGCTGTCCTTCGTCGGCAGGTTTTTATAATATCTATATATATTCTATTTCAATGTCAAATGTTCTCGTCACGATATGGCTGAAATATTGCCGATGTGACGTTAAATATTAACTCACTCACTCACTCAAAGCAAAATTATCCACCAGATGTCCAAAACATTGTCTCTCAAAACATTCATTTGTTTTAGAAATACTAGACATCTGATTTTTTCTTCATTGCCTAAAATATCACTGAAAACTGAAATTCTTATCAGACAGTGGGTCTCACTTCTGATGTTATGGTTCACAAGAATTAGATTTGGTGGTAGTAGTAGGACCTGTTACTTGACTTCTCGGAGGTCTAAATACACCATGTGGTCTCCCTAAGGTTAGTGTTTAACTGAATATGTGAACCTGGTCTCCTTAGGCTTGAATTCAATTACTGGTATATATGCATTTATTGGTGTAATCAAAAGCAAGTTCAAATGATTCACAGCGAGCGGGTGAGCGCACTGGTGCAAGCCTGGCACCTTAAACTCACTAAGGGCACTCACTACATGTTGATGAAAATCCTGAAGAATATCATTCCATATCCGAGGAACGGTTCCGCAGCGTTGCTGGATGGTTCGGTTGACATTGCAAACATTCCATTTTCTTCCAGAGGCGTTCAGTAGGTGACAAATCAAAGCATGGACAACTACTATCCCTAATGCTGGTCTTTAAATATATACCATCTGGTCCCCCTAATGCTGGTCTTTAAATATATATACCATCTGTTCCCCCTAATGCTGGTCTTTAAATATATATACCATCTGTTCCCCCTAATGCTGGTCTTTAAATATATATACCATCTGGTCCCCTAATGCTGGTCTTTAAATATATACCATCTGGTCCCCCTAATGCTTGTTTTTAAATATATATATATATATATATATATATATATATATATATATATACCATCTGGACTCCCTAATGCTTGTTTTTAATATATTTATATATACCATCTGGTCCCCCTAATGCTGATTTTTAAATATATCTATACCATCTGGTCCCCCTAATGCTGGTGTTATGTATGTATGAAAATTAAGGAGACCGAAAAACATGAATATATCATCTGTTTTATACAGTTTCTTAAGATGATATAGAGTTGCAATGCACAATAAAACTTAAACTTAAAAAAGTTATTGTACAACAGAATATACACATGGTGTCCCTAATGCTGGTTTTTACATACGGTCTCTCTGTTGCTGGTTCCATATATATATATATACACACACACACATATACATATCTCTCCCTCTATATATAGACAATGTCGACCTTTGGGCGACCTTTAGGCGACAGCTGTCGCCCTAAGGATATATTTCTGTCGCCTAAATATCGGCATGTCACTACTATGTTCATTTTCTTTCATAGCTATCCCAAAGTGGATGGTTGGATAGACGGTCGTCTCAGGACCTTCAGGTGTGCTTCTTTTGTATTTTTATAAAACTTTAGTGCTGTTATTGAAAAAACAAAAATATCATGTATATAACGTCTGCGACCTTTCGGCGACACGGGGTTTTCTGTAAAATTCTCTAACACCTGGATATATGTTCAGTAATAAACAATGGAGAAATTATTGTCTAGATATATGCTATTAGGTTTTGTACAGTTTTTTCAAATATACATATCGTTAAGTGTTCGCCATAACATCACTGTTTCGCTCGCAGTACCTTTCGGCGATTTGCCTTCATGCTCCTGTGCGTCAAAAACGTGAAAGTTCAATAGCGGCTACGTCGAAATGAACACTTATCTAATAATTCAATAATGTCTGTAGATATTGTGGGACCTGACAGACAAGACCAATATGCCACCAAGAACACGTTTAAATACTTAAACATTTGATTCTTCAATCAAAATAACAATGTAATAATCTGTAAATAAATTGAATTCATGTTTCACACGAAGGCCCGTTCACGTTTTGTGTCAAATCGGATCCCGTTTGCTACAGTTTTCGCGCACTACACGAGGTGACTTGGCAGCACAAAGCTATGGAAAATGCAGGGTATGTATCGTAATCGGAGTATTTTGTTGAAAACAGCAGCATGTACAATTGTATCAAAGGCGATGCCTGTCCCATGACACAATCTATTTCAAGATTTCGCAACTGGAAGAAACTGTTTGCTAGTAACTTGATCGCGATTGTGAGGTCTGGTATCTCATGTTGTTTCTTGATCCTCACCTAGACTATCGCTTAGTCTCTGAATATAATTTTTTTTATATCAACAAACAAACGCATTATAAATTGAAAAGGAGACCCGGGGAAACCAGAACCTGAGGAAATCTAGACTTGCTTCATTTAGGGCTTTAGCATTGCAGAAAGGGCTATGCTGTAGGGAAAATAATATTGTGGTTCAGGGGACTGTGACAGACTACAGAGTACAGTGGTTGGCCATAAGTGAGTCATCATTAGTGAAATTTCCATAGACTTACATGTTAATTAACTGTTTCAAGAATAATTTTAATAAATTGAGTAGAAGTTTGCAAACATCTTGGAAATCATCTTCAGCTACATATACATAATTTTCTTTCATCTTTCCGTTGATTAGTTATCGAATGACGCCTGATTAAGCACCATAAATACAACTTAATTTTAATCTATCCCATAGACATGTTAAACTTGATTGGTATGTCTAATATATGTTGTTTAAGTAGTTGCAGTTTTCTTAATAATCATCGGAAAATTGAAAGGAAATTATATGTACGTAGCTGAGATGATTTCCCAGCTGGTAGATATAAGTACTGAAAGCAATTCCACCGAAACTAAATTTATGAAAATTATTCTTGCAAGAGTTAATTAACATGAAGGTCTATGGGAATTTCACTATTGATGACTCACTTATGGCCAACTACTGTAGATCCACACTCGAAAGAGCTAATCACAGCTGAATGATTTTATGTTCACTCAGTGGGTGAAATTGACCTTTTACTTTTAGGCCAGTGTACATTCTTGTACTTAGACGCAGTTCCGGTGCGGCAAAAACCCAAAACAACTCTCATTCTGACGCCTGATATTCAGACTGACTTTTCACACTGATATATTGTTTTCTTATTTTAGATATATATCTACCAACTAATAGATAAATAAAAAACCCAAAACAGTCAATAACCATTACTAATTTCAGGAACTAACCAAATCTGTAAGACTTGAATTCAGTAAAATTACTTATAGGCCAAATGTAGAGATAGCATAACACATTACAATCGGTTTTATCACCCACACTGCATATTCTGACCATGGGGGTAATACTCATTGACATGGGTTGCTCAAATAATGAGCTGATACTGCAGTGTTGAGGAAGACTTGTAGTTATAGTTTCTTAAACCTTCCATAGTTTATCAAAACGTGTAACAATACTAATGATAACACAACAACTGATCTTTGGGGGGGAAAAGGGTCAAGTTTATTTTAACTTGACAACATTAACAAATCCAAACATGTAATTAATCAGTACGAACACTGCAATTTCCTCCATGAGGAGATACTTCAACCTAGACATAGGTATACACTGAATAGGTATGAATATTGCAACATTGCAAATCCCAAACATGCAATTTATTATACAGGAGACAGCATAAACCATAAAAAGGGGTGGGCAAGGGCGGGTATTTTCGTCTGCTATGGTTCCAAGGTGACCTTGAAACTGTCATGCCCCTTAGCTCATTAACAAACATAAACAAGGCCCTTAGTACCTTAATAAAAAGGGTTATCTCCCTTGGACCAGAGGTGAAGGCTGGGGAAATTAAGTTCCCAAGAGTTATGTCCCTTTACCTGCAAATCAAGCCTAAGTAGGTTAAGCTGTCAGTTTTAATATCAAATAAAATAGTTTTATTTTCAACTTAAACCTTCCATAGTTTATCAAAACGTGTAACAATACTAATGATAACACAACAACTGATCTTTGGGGGGGAAAAGGGTCAAGTTTATTTTAACTTGACAACATTAACAAATCCAAACATGTAATTAATCAGTACGAACACTGCAATTTCCTCCAAACCCCCAAAGATCAGTTAACTAGAAAGTACATACAAACTGAGCACTTGCGACACTCTCTCATGTAACTCATCATCTAAAGTGATGTAACGTTCATATGCATTGGATCTCCAGTCACCTCTCAGTTTAATGAACGGTGCTGACAGTCCAGCTTTAAAGGCAAATGTGCAACCTCCTCGTCGGAAGGAATGTCCGCTAAAGTCATCTGCCTTGTATCCACATACAGTCAAGATTTTCTTGAGGGTGCTCACAAAGGTATTGTAAGTCAGGCACTTAATGTTTCTATGATTGTCCAAGTAGGAAAAAAGTGGAATACCTTGTTGTGAGATGGACGGTGGAAACAGCTGGAGTAAGTTGTCTAGAGCTTTCACTGGACACAGGGGTGAGCCCGGAATCCAGTGGAGGGGCAACCTGAGTACTCTTTGTCCAAACTGAATTGTCTTGGTGTGTCTGATCACTATGGTTGCAGATTTTTTGTCATCAGACAAGCTAGCATCACACATGAGGAGACAATGAGAGGGGGTATCGCTCTCTTTCCGGGGCAACAATGTAGATTTACGGAGAAAGCCGAAGAAGGCAATAACACAGGCTGCCCAGAATGCCTTATAGAAGGCAATAGATGTATTGATCCTGTTACGAATTTCCTGCAAGATGTGAACAGTGATAGGCAACTTCTGTTTGGGTGGTACACCTTTCAACCGGTTGACACCCTGAGTAGGAGTTTATACTCCCAGTTATCTGTCGGGTTTGGGAGTCCAACTTCCACATGCATAAGGCGCACAACATTCACATAATTGGGGATACTGGTTGCTTTCAGTGTCCGCCCGAGAAACACTACATACAGTAGGATGGTTAGTGTATCCGCTGGCACAGGTCTCAATCCAAAGTAGAGGCAAAAACGCGCAGGTATGCTGACCTCATTGATGAGTACGTCCTTTTAGTTGAATCCGCATAACAATGACTTTTTAGCTGCAACAATTCAGATCTAAGCAGTGTCCATTGTTCTCCCACTGGGCCTGCAAAAAAGTAAATGCCCTATCAGTCATATGTTGGTCCCAGATCATCAGCATGGTCAAGGAATTACATGAACCACAGTCATGAGGTAATGCCTGAAGGTAAGGCACTGCTTTGCTTAGATGACTAGGATCATGTAGTCGGCTCAACGAGTCGCCTGCGAAGTTAAGGACACCAGGGATATGTCTAGCTGATAGACGGAAATTATGCACCGCCGACAGCCAAAACAAGTCACGAAGCCACGACATTGCAAGAGGATTACTGCAAGTTCCCTTATTGATGCATGCTTTTGCAGTGACATTGTCAGTGTAAACAACAATGCGTTTATTGCGCCATCTCTTGCACCAGCTTAGCTGAAATATATACAACAAATAGTTCTTTCAAGTTGATGTGTTCATTCGACATATTGGGAAAATCAGATTCCCAGCTGCAGTAGAACCAGTCATTCTTGTAATATGCTGCGCCACCAGTAGAACAAGCATCAGTGGAGAAATCATGCACGGGCACCGGAATAGCATCTAGGAAGCTGCAGGTACCATTGAAGGTTTTGCAAAAGGTTATCCACCATTGAATATCTTTTCTAGAGGACTGTGACAGTCGCACATGATGTGAGCTGCGCTTTAAAGAGTTCATGATATCGATTAGACGACGAAGAAAAGTACGTCCACCATACACAACACGAGATGCCCAGTTAAGTTTTCCCACAAGCACTTGAAGTTCACGTTTTGTTGCTTTCTTCTTACTGGACCAGGACCTCAGAAGAACTTTCAACGAATCTAGTTTATCATGAGGTAATGAGAATGTTTTTGCCACACTGTCTATTTCAATTCCCAGAAATACCAGCTTCTGACACGGTGCTTCCACTTTTTCATAGTTAATTGTAAATCCAAGATTAACTAGCAGGTTAAGTAGGGTATCATAACCGTTTTGACACTCTGCTTCTGATTTACCAATGATCAAAAAATCATCCATGTAGGCAACTATCACAAACCCTCTACGTTTCATCATCCTCGATATAGCTGTAGAAAGACGATTGAAAACCTGTGGGCTCATCGAGGCACCGAAGGGAAGTTTTGTGTCCACAAAATAGTTAGGTATTATTCCACCTGAAAAAGTCCATGATAACCCAGTAGCTGCATAGCAATCCGGATGTATGGGTACACTGCGGTAGGCATGTTTTAAGTCAACTTTGGCCATATATCCTCCGGGGGGTAGCAGTTTCAAGGCATTATCTATAGTCTCATATGTAAAGCTGGTAGTAGTAGCATGTGAGTTAAGGCTGTAACCAACTGGTCTGCTACAGTCATGGATCAGTCTTACCTTGCCATCACTTTTGGGAATGGCTCCTAAACTACTGATAATAGTCACAGGTTTTTTACATGGAAGATAGTTTCCACATTCAATTTCCTGAATAATCTGTTTCTCAACTAATGCTTTTGAATGTTCATCTGTAGCTGATTTATAGTTTTTACACCTAACAGGCTTAAGTTCTGCATCCTGAGAAATAATCCGAAAACCATTAACAACACCATCAAGGATGAATTGTGAGTCTTTGTCATTCTTCAGTTCAGCTTGCCAAGTTGGCAAGCATTTACCCAGGGGGCTATCAATACATGGAGGGACGAAAACGAGGAGGCACCTCCTTGTCCTTGCGATGTTCGAACTGTGGGTGTTTCTCATTGCATCCTGGTACAAGGCATGTGTGACTGTATTTACAGTTTGGAAACTTACAACCAGAAGGGTGTTGGAAGTTAATGCATATCAGTTTCCCAAACTGATCTACTTGTCTGTTCCTATGATGAGGAGCTGAACTTGTGGGAGGCTTTCTTGTGCTTGGTGCAGTAGATTTCTTTTCTAGGTAGTAGAACATGTCATGGAAATTTACACAATTCCAACTTGTGCTACCTTCATCTGATAGTCGCCTTCTATGTTTGTCATCAAGTAACATTATTGACTGTGTGGTGTAGGTCTGCGCAAAGTCGCCAATCTGAGCAGTGTAATCCAGGTAAGATTTTACTCCAGTCATGTCAGTTTTACCCTCATCGACTAGCTTGCGTAATATCCTAGCATTAGCAGAAATCCACTGAGATAAGGAGACTTGTTCTGGCGTTGGCTTAGAGTTACTTCTCATGAACAGCTTATTGTCACCCTCACTAAAAATGGGAGTTTCATCACTGGATACAGATGATTTTGGTTTAGTGATAAAGTCTGGTATCAAATGGGGTTTCTCACCTTTCCGTGATTTGTCCTTGGCACAGATCTCTTCTTCACATTTATTGAAGTTCAGATAGTCTTTTAAATGGAGGTCAGACATTCCCTTTAGTAAGTCATTGAGTTCAACCATCTTAGACAAATCCCTAGTTGTTACTCCAGCACTGCTGTCAATATTAGTTCCACATTCTTGCTGAAATGTAGTGGTTGAAGGTTGCCGCAGCAATTTCACAGCTTCCAAAAGAGCATTACGTTGCCCAAGAGGCAGTTTCAGTTCAAGCACATCATCTGTTGATAATCTCAATAAACACTGCTTTGACACAATTTCTTCCTTGGAAAGAATGTCCAGAGTAATGCTACTCAGTCCTGATAAAGAACCCCACTCACTGATACAGAAGGAATCTGTGTCTTCCATTTCTTTTTACTGCAAATTCTCACTGCATATTATTTTCGTCTGCTATGGTTCCAAGGTGACCTTGAAACTGTCATGCCCCTTAGCTCATTAACAAACATAAACAAGGCCCTTAGCACCTTAATAAAGAGGGTTATCTCCCTTGGACCAGAGGTGAAGGCTGGGGAAATTAAGTTCCCAAGAGTTATGTCCCTTTACCTGCAAATCAAGCCTAAGTAGGTTAAGCTGTCAGTTTTAATATCAAATAAAATAGTTTTATTTTCAACATAATGTCACTCTCCATTGTTGCTCTTTGCTGTTTCCTCTGATAGCTGAACTACACATTTTTATATCAGCTACACATTTCCTAAATTGTTCATGCAAAGGAAATATGCATTTGCTCTCTTGACCATAATATGTTTCAGTTACATTATTTATATCAAGAGTTTCTAACTTTCAAATATAGCTTTTTGTACTCCTGCTTTCAACCCTGTCCCTTTGGGTGTTTATGTGCAGTGTATCTCCTCCACTGGTCTATCAGAGTGAAAATATCAGTGTATAGTGATGAAATGTATATTTTGCACCATTTTCATGCTAATAATAACAATTATCTCCATATGAGTACAAAGATTGTAGCCTACCACCTTATTACCTACAAGAAAAGGCTGTCTGGATCAAACCTTGTTTGTATTTAGTAACCTAATACATTTTGTGGCTGGTTATGACAAGAATTTCTAATTATCAGATAACACAATAACTGATGCTGAGAGATCCTAAAAGATAAAAACCTTTCTTGCATTTGGCCCAGGACTATAACCATGTCTGTTCACATGCCACTGCCACTCAGCCAGCATAATTATGACCAATACATCCTCCTACTCACAGGTGACTCAACTGACAACCATAAATGTTGGTTACGTTGTATTTTTCTGCACTTGGTCCAAACTTGATATAGTTTCAAATGCTAGAGATTTTCCACTTCACTGATGCACTTGAATCTGTTAATTCAATATTGTGCATGAATACAGTCAGAATCCCTTTTTGAGCTTTCATAATTCCATGGCAGCTATGTTTGTATGTTTAATGCAGGCACATTTCCTCATTTCAAAGTCTAAATCCTGTACATTGTGTAACATAGGAAAGAGGGTAAACACCAGTGGACAGTATAAGATTAACTGAAAAATCAAGGATGAATCTCACTAAACATATTGAGACATGTTATAACTTATTGGTAGGTCAATAGACCATCTGTTTCTATGCAGGGATATGTTATTAGTCTTTTATGGTTTTTAAGTTCCCTTAGCGGTCAAATTGCATAAAAGGGTAAGTTTGTTCAAAGCGGGGGTTTCTTAAACAAACTATTTCTTTTTTTAAAAATGGAGGTGAAGTTTAACATTTCTTTCAATACAAACAGTAAGAATTAAAGCCTCTTCCTGAATCATAGAATCGATGATTGTTATTATGAATAGTAACTTTGAACAAAAATTTTAAAAAAAACCCTGAAAGAAATCAACATTTTGTATTACTGGTGAGTTTTGACATTTATGCATGGATGACTAAAAAAATCCTGAACATGATTTAGAGGCAACCCATGAATAAAGAAATAACTTTGTATATTGTGTGAGTAAACTGAAACTATGATATTATGGGTATTCTTAAATTCCATTCAAATTGACTTGATGGCACAAGTTTTTTTCCTTTGGTCACCCTTCAACTCTAGTTCAAAGTTGACATAGACTGTAAAAAGTCAGAAAAGGTCTAGCCTGTCTCATAGTTCCTGAACTGCATGATTTTTACTTCCGTCTATGCTTTTCTGCAGTGATAAAGACCTTATTTAAGCAAGTCTAGATTTACTTAGGTTCAGGAATCTCCCATCTCACTGGAGCTCCTTTTCAGTTTAAAAGGAATTATTTGATTCTATCAAAATTATATATATTCAGAGACTCAGAAGGGCTAGTCCCAAATGGTCCTGTTAGACATGGAAATCCTATCCAATCCAGTTTATGCCTGGTAAGTTAATTCTATTTTACAACAGATTCTGAATATGAAACATTGTAAATTCATAATTTAGGTATGGTGTTAGGGTGATAACTAAATCGTGTAGAATTTTAACTACTTTATCAGTTCAGAAGAAAAAATATTATTTCTTAAGCTCAGTTTTGAATTTAAGTTCATGATCATTTTTAGAATAATATTGTTAACATTTTAATGTTACATAATGCAGACAATTATGAACGGGATCAAGAGACGTTGAGCTTGGCAGAGGAGAAATGTGATCTTCAAATTGCAGAATCAGAGGGGGAGTCTCTGAGGCATTCCAAAGTGAGGAAGGGGTAGGTTATGTGATCCAGAGATCAATACCTTCATGTTAGTAGGTTTAAATTGTGAATACCATTTTTACAACTTTGTTAACTTTATTTCTACCTTAACTAGGGATGTCGCGATACATAATTTTCATGAATCGATACGTATCACAATACTCATGACATGATTCGCTATGTATCATGATACCTATTTTCGCTGCATTATTGTGTAAATTTAGTTACATTTTGAACATTAAATATTTTATATTTTATAATAGTCCTTGAAAAGATCAACATTTTCTATTCTCAGAGATTAAAAGGTTCTAATTTCCCATCTTTGTGCATGAAAAATAATCATTTATAACTCTCATAACATAAAAAAACATGATACAATTGCAAAATGTAAACGATACATATTAAAACGTATTTAAATCGATTCTTTCAAAACTAAATATCGATACAGTTTTGAATGTATCAATGATTGTACCATCTTAGAAAAAGTATGGATGTATCATGTCATTCCTAACCTTAACAATGTTCTGGCCTACCTTTAGAATTCAGCACCACAAACTTGCAATACCCAATGAAGTAATGCCTCATGAATCTTTGCAAATTGTTTAAGCCTTCTCAGTATTAGTACAGTTACCTTGAATGGTAGTGTGCCCATCAGTGCCGAGTGCAGCAATACATGTTTTAGGTATTATCTCAATACATGATCTTTTACTATTTATAAAGTCCCAAAACATTCAAAGTAAATTTCAACTTTCCGTTTTTTAATCGTAGAATATTTGTAATTTTAATGTATGGCTAGATATGTCTTAATTGCTAACGGCTGAGGGGATGATATAAATCCAGCTAGGGCCCATGCAGGAAGCAAATGTACTGTAAGTCCCCATGGTCCCTAGTATGGTGATCTACCTTCAGTTGTTAGCGATCTATAGCCCATTTTTAGATTGTGTTGTCCCCTATGGTTAAAATGTTTTAGATTCAATTACTAGTTTTACATATATATATCTGTGATACTCTAGTTGCTTTACTGTCCTTCGATGACAGGTTTTATAATATATACATATTCAATTACAATGTAAAATGTTCTCGTCACGATATGGCTGAAATATTGCTGATGTGACGTTAAATATTAACTCACTCACTCACTATTTATAAATGTAACAAGAAATTGAAAATGGCCAATAAGAGATTAATTGATAGACATGGAATAGCCTTATATACAGATAGTCTGTCTTTGATGACATATATGAAAAATTTAAAGAAAAACTGTATATACTCTCATAACAAGCAGTTCCAGACAAGTATTGTGGTTCTGATCATGGAAAACTTTACAGAAAATGTAGAAATTTTGAAAACTGGCAGAATTTGCTCTTTTCACATATCAATAGGGTAATTTTCAACATTTTTAAGCTTTTCTATTGACTTTTGCACTTGATTGATGTCCAAACATTTGCAATTCAAAAATTAATCCCTGCAATAATCATGTCTTTTATAGAGATATCATTTTCACTTTTAGGTTACTATCTACTCATATCTTACCACAGTTTCATAGAGAGCTGATGGGTGTCGTGTTTCGTAGTGCACACAATTCAGACCATACCCATGAAGAGAAAATATTGGCATTTCTCAATACAATGTATACAAATTAACATATTGCCTACATTTTGTTGTTTTCTGTAGTCAATAATTCAATCTTCCATCGGATAATCAGGTGTATGAAAGTTCTGACACCATTCTGTTCATATCACAGGGGTGGGTGGGGGTGGGGATGGGTGGGTTCTCAATTAAATTTGTTTTACATAATTGTATCAGGTGTTTAAATGGGTTGTTATCAAATGATTCATGTAATTGTTAATACATTTGCATTAATGTTTTGGTGTCCTTCATACACAGGAAATTCAGCAAATGAGAACTGAAGACACCTGTATTCCATGTCAGCAGATACATTTTCTTTGTTTATCTTTTCAGGATTCAGATGTAGTATCTGTGAGAAGGTACTAAAATGTAAAGGTGGATATACTGTTCATCAGCAGATGACTTGAAGTGAAAAGGTACTACCAGTTTTTAGTAGTTTCTTTCTAGATATCAAGATAAGTGAACACTCATAACATTTCTTATCATGATACAAAGTCAAGAATGTGTTTAGCTCGATCGCTTTATGATATTACTGGCAGGTCATTAGTAAATCAATCAAGCTAAATTCCATTGTATGCAACTAGGATGTGTTGTCTAAAGGTCTGTGTTGATGATGAATAAGATGTATTGTGATGACCATCGGCAACTTATCATATATATATGTATTAATATTCAGCCGACTCTTGGGCAAGATATGTATATCATTATCAACAGAATGTTGGGTAACATCCTATCTGTTATAATCACAACCAATTGGGCAACACATCCTATCTGCTATAATCACAGCCCATTGGGCAACACATCCTATCTGTTATTTTTACATACCTTAGGGCAACACATCCTATCTGTTATTTTTACAGACCATTGGGCAACACATACATATTAACATCAGACCTTATCAGAAGACCTTTTAGTAACACATCATATCTGTTATCAGCAGACCTTTGGGCAAGACATCTTATATATCACCAGTAGACCTTAGGGCAATACATCTTTTATATCACCAGTAGACCTTAGGGCAACACATCATATATATTACCAGTAGACCTTAGGGCAACACATTATATATATTACCAGTAGACCTTAGGGCAAGACATTATACATATTACCAGTAGACCTTAGGGCAACACATCATATATATTACCAGTAGACCTTAGGGCAACACATCTTATATATCACCAGTAGACCTTAGGGCAACACATTATATATATTACCAGTAGACCTTAGGGCAAGACATTATATATATTACCAGTAGACCTTAGGGCAACACATTATATATATTACCAGTAGACCTTAGGGCAACACATCTTATATATCACCAGTAGACCTTAGGGCAACACATCATATGTATTATCAGTACACCTTTGGGTTACACATCATATATAGTGTATATACCAAACTCTCTGTAGTTCACTTGTCTACAGTCAAATATAATCAAACTTTGTATCCCTAAAGAGGCTTTTTCACTAATCAGTTTGTAATCTAGTTATATCATGTGGATAAGTTGAGTTTGATTGTCACACTGTGCACTGAGCTGTAGTATTGTGCACTGCGCTGTAGTATTAAATCATACATACTAAAGGGTTAAGATTTCTTCCTTGCAGTCTGAATTGACTGATGTCAGTTATGATTCAACACTTCAAATGATATGTGTCACCTAGATAGTTAGAAATTACAAAAATGACAGATCATGTTTGTATTCTACAGTGTCAGTACATACTGTATGTTTTTCTAGATTTGTAGGTTTCATTGAGTAGTCAATGCCAAAATTGTTTACATTTCAAACCTCAAGCTTAACTTGTGTGTTCTAAATGTAATTTCTGTTTATCAAAGACACAACAAAACTCTCAAATCTGAAAACATACCATGTCTTTTTTTCTAACTAGATAACTAACTTATCCTTCAGCACTGCTAGAACTTGGCTGACATACTGCTGACATATGTCATCAACTGGTTCCAATTGCATCATGCATGACATGTAGGAGATGTGGAGAAAAATCCCTGAGCCAATTGTATGCAGAATTTTATGAAGTTTGGTTTAAAAGTTAGCGAATCAGATATGTTCTTTTTTTTATTACATATTTCCAGTTCGAAACCTTTGTTTTACAAAAACCTAATGCTGCCATTTTTGTCAATCAAAATGTCTCTTTTGTTCAATTACTTTCTTGTTGCTTTGACTATTTTATCATTGCTGCAATTATTTCTCTGAGTATACCAAAACATGTGCATGTTGCTGCATATTAATTACGTCAATGTTTTGTTTCATCATCATTTCACTTGTTTGATAAACACTAAGCAATACAGTTAACCAGTATCTATCTGGACATCCTCCTACCTTTCCCTTTCTCAGTGGTATTCAGTCTGTATCTACTTAATGAAGCGCTTACTACTACTAGGGTTGACGGGCGGTGGGGTAGCCTAGTGGTTTAAGCGTTCGCTTGTCATAGCTAAAAGCGGGATAAAACTAATCTCACTCACTACTAGTGTTGACCCTCATTTCTCTCATAGACAGTGGCAGTCACTCCCATTCAATTTTCAGCCATGTTACGAGATTAAAGTTTCCTGAATACTCAAGGCTCCATCTTTATAGAACTATTTCTATTCTACATTATAGCAAACTTAATTTAAGGACTATATGTTGTTATATTGTATATTGCAGTGATTAGAAACTAACATATACTACTCACACTTTGCTAAGGTTCACAAAATTTCCCAACTTTACTTACACATAGATTTATAATTTGAAATTGTATACATTTAAAACTGGATAAATAATAATATAGTAACCCTTCTTTAGGCAAACAGCTACTTTAATCTAACCTTATGCACTTGGTACATGAGTAACCATAAAAATGGTTTAATGGCACCAATCAACCATTTTGCAAATCATGGAACGAGTCATTTACAAATACACAACACCTGTCAATAGCAGGTATGGGATCCGCAAGATGCAATGACATACTGAAACCTAGGATCCAGACTTACAATAAGCTTAGATATTTAAACCAAATTAGACCCGACATCATAGTTTTCTGTTGAATCAATGATTTAATCCATAGCAAAGTGTGAATAGTATATTTAGGCCACAAGTCCTCATAATGATAACAAATTAGCTAAATCTTAAAATGGCAAATGTTTACTTGTCCTAATAAAACCTTAAGTTGGGGAGTTGGGTAAAGACTATAGGACTAAAAGCTGAGTGATGATACTCACTGTACCTTGATGTTTTAACATAATTCTGAAAACTTTGTTATATTTCAGAAACGGAGACCATTCAGGCATTTCTACAGATTTCCAAGCATGAATGCTCTTATGTTCAGCTGAGAACAAAAATGATGAACAAGTAGAAAATACAGCAGCAAAGGACAAGGACGAGATGGCACACATTTTAAGAATAAGATTAACTTAAAAAATATTCAGATCACTTCTAAGGGATGTTACATTAAGGAATTCACTTTCCCAGTATACCAGATACTAGTACTTTGCTGGTAGAGGGTGGAGTGAATCCCTTGTGTGATTTGAACCCACCCTCTCAGAGTGAAACACCTTATCACAGAACAACATAGTCAGCAATTTAACCTGACAAATGTTAGTCAAGGTCTGGTTCAGAGAAGTGTAAATGCCACAATTACAAAGTTGTGCAAAGTTATGCAAATAAGAATGTCAAAGCTCTTTGGTTTAATAAATAGTAATTATTAAACTTACAATTTTTCTTGTTCCTATCATTGGTTCGCACTGGGGTGGAATGTGGCTCCATTTTCCATGGTGGAGTCTCCGAAGCTGATTTGGAAAAAATAGGGGGGTGGGGTGGTAGCACTTGCGGATCTAGCGCGGTGATGGGCTGTGTTTAGATGGTATTCAGACCAGACATCAGGCAAATATCAGTGTAAGAGCCCAAGTTTATTCAGGAGTCGTCCGGTATGGCTCAGTGTATGATAAGAAAACGAGAATAGTCCTGACTGGCTCAAAATGGGCTGTGTTTAAATGGTATTCAGACCAGAAATTAGGCAAATATCCGTGTCGGAGCCCCAGTTTATTCAGGGGTTGTCTGGTATGCCTCAATGTATGATAAGAGAACGAGAATAGTGCCGACTGGCTCAAAATGGGCTGTGTTTAAATGGTATTCAGACCAGAAATTAGGCAAATATCAGTGTCGGAGCCCCAGTTTATTCAGGAGTCGTCTGGTATGCCTCAGTGTATGACAAGAGAACGAGAATAGTCCCGACTGGCTCAAAATGGGCTGTGTTTAAATGGTATTCAGACCAGAAATTAGGCAAATATCAGTGTCGGAGCCCCAGTTTATTCAGGAGTCGTCTGGTATGCCTCAGTGTATGACAAGAGAACGAGAATAGTCCCGACTGGCTCAAAATGGGCTGTGTTTAAATGGTTTTCAGACCATACATAAGGCACATACCCGTGTCGGAGCCCCAGTTTATTCAGGAGTCGTCTGGTATGCCTCAGTGTATGATAAGAATACGGGAATAGTCCTGAATGGCTCAAAATGGGCTGTAGTTTGGTGGTATTTAGACCAGCCATCAGGCAAATATCAGTGTCGGAGCCCCAGTTTATTCAGGAGTCGTCTAGTATGCCTCCTGGTAGGATAGGAGAACCGGAATACTCCCGACTGGCTCACAATGGGCTGTGTTTAAATGGTATTCAGACCAGACATTTGGCAAATATCAGTGTCGGAGCCCTAGTTTATTCAGGAGTCGTCTGGTATGCCTCAGTGTATGATAAGAGAACGAGAATAGTCCCGACTGGCTCAAAATGGGCTGTGTTTAAATGGTATTCAGACCAGAAATTAGGCAAATATCAGTGTCGGAGCCCCAGTTTATTCAGGAGTCGTCTGGTATGCCTCAGTGTATGACAAGAGAACGAGAATAGTCCCGACTGGCTCAAAATGGGCTGTGTTTAAATGGTATTCAGACCAGCCATCAGGCACATACCCGTGTCGGAGCCCCAGTTTATTCAGGAGTCGTCTGGTATGCCTCAGTGTATGATAAGAATACGGGAATAGTCCTGAATGGCTCAAAATGGGCTGTAGTTTGGTGGTATTTAGACCAGCCATCAGGCAAATATCAGTGTCGGAGCCCCAGTTTATTCAGGAGTCGTCTAGTATGCCTCCTGGTATGATAGGAGAACCGGAATACTCCCGACTGGCTCACAATGGGCTGTGTTTAAATGGTATTCAGACCAGACATTTGGCAAATATCAGTGTCGGAGCCCTAGTTTATTCAGGAGTCGTCTGGTATGCCTCAGTGTATGACAAGAGAACGAGAATAGTCCCGACTGGCTCAAAATGGGCTGTGTTTAAATGGTATTCAGACCAGAAATTAGGCAAATATCAGTGTCGGAGCCCCAGTTTATTCAGGAGTCGTCTGGTATGCCTCAGTGTATGACAAGAGAACGAGAATAGTCCCGACTGGCTCAAAATGGGCTGTGTTTAAATGGTTTTCAGACCATACATAAGGCACATACCCGTGTCGGAGCCCCAGTTTATTCAGGAGTCGTCTGGTATGCCTCAGTGTATGATAAGAATACGGGAATAGTCCTGAATGGCTCAAAATGGGCTGTAGTTTGGTGGTATTTAGACCAGCCATCAGGCAAATATCAGTGTCGGAGCCCCAGTTTATTCAGGAGTCGTCTAGTATGCCTCCTGGTAGGATAGGAGAACCGGAATACTCCCGACTGGCTCACAATGGGCTGTGTTTAAATGGTATTCAGACCAGACATTTGGCAAATATCAGTGTCGGAGCCCTAGTTTATTCAGGAGTCGTCTGGTATGCCTCAGTGTATGATAAGAGAACGAGAATAGTCCCGACTGGCTCAAAATGGGCTGTGGTTAGGTGGTATTTAGACCAGACATCAGGCAAATATCCGTGTCGGAGCCCCAGTTTATTCAGGACTTGTCTTGTATGCCTATGTATGATAAGAGAATTAGAATAGTCCCGACTGGCTCACAATGGGCTGTGTTTAGATGGTATTCAGACCAGAAATTAGGCAAATATCAGTGTCGGAGCCCCAGTTTATTCAGGAGTCGTCTGGTATGCCTCAGTGTATGATAAGAGAACGAGAATAGTCCCGACTGGCTCAAAATGGGCTGTGTTTAAATGGTATTCAGACCAGAAATTAGGCAAATATCAGTGTCGGAGCCCCAGTTTATTCAGGAGTCGTCTGGTATGCCTCAGTGTATGACAAGAGAACGAGAATAGTCCCGACTGGCTCAAAATGGGCTGTGTTTAAATGGTATTCAGACCAGACATTTAGGCATACATATACCCGTGTCGGAGCCCCAGTTTATTCAGGAGTCGTCTGGTATGCCTCAGTGTATGATAAGAATACGGGAATAGTCCTGAATGGCTCAAAATGGGCTGTAGTTTGGTGGTATTTAGACCAGCCATCAGGCAAATATCAGTGTCGGAGCCCCAGTTTATTCAGGAGTCGTCTAGTATGCCTCCTGGTAGGATAGGAGAACCGGAATACTCCCGACTGGCTCACAATGGGCTGTGTTTAAATAGTATTCAGACCAGACATTTGGCAAATATCAGTGTCGGAGCCCTAGTTTATTCAGGAGTCGTCTGGTATGCCTCAGTGTATGATAAGAGAACGAGAATAGTCCCGACTGGCTCAAAATGGGCTGTGGTTAGGTGGTATTTAGACCAGACATCAGGCAAATATCCGTGTCGGAGCCCCAGTTTATTCAGGACTTGTCTTGTATGCCTATGTATGATAAGAGAATTAGAATAGTCCCGACTGGCTCACAATGGGCTGTGTTTAGATGGTATTCAGACCAGACATTTGGCAAATATCAATGTCGGAGCCCCAGTTTATTCAGGACTTGTCTTGTATGCCTAAGTGTATGATAGGAGAACCGGAATACTCCCGACTGGCTCACAATGGGCTGTGTTTAAATGGTATTCAGACCAGACATTTGGCAAATATCAATGTCGGAGCCCCAGTTTATTCAGGAGTTGTCTGGTATGCCTCAGTGTATGATAAGAATACGGGAATAGTCCCGACTGGCTCAAAATGGGCTGTGGTTAGGTGGTATTTAGACCAGAAATCAGGCAAATATCCGTGTCGGAGCCCCAGTTTATTCAGGAGTTGTCTGGTATGCCTCAGTGTATGATAAGAGAACGAGAATAGCACCGACCCGCTCAAAATGGGCTTTGGTTTGGTGGTATTTAGACCAGAAATCAGGCAAATATCCATGTCGGAGCCCCAGTTTATTCAGGAGTTGTCTGGTATGCCTCAGTATATGATAAGAGAACGAGGATAGTCCCGACTGGCTCAAAATGGGCTGTGTATAAATGGTATTTAGACCAGAAATCAGGCAAATATCCGTGTCGGAGCCCCCAGTTTATTCAGGAGTCGTCTGGTATGCCTCAGTGTATGATAGGAGAACCGGAATAGTCCCGACTGGCTCAAAAAGGGCTGTGGTTAGATGGTATTCAGACTCCATCAACCTTCGCTCATCTTTTCATTGTGATCAGTCATTAGAAATAGTTTCAACAAATCCATATTTGATGACGAAAGTTAATGATGTTGTTACTTTATCTCGTTAAAAAACGTTTTTCATATCTGGACTTTGCAATCCAGTTTATTAATTTTACTCAAAAGGTAAAAAAAGAATGTTTATATCAACTGCAGTTATATCCTGTGTTTCCCTGAAATTTTAACTTCGGTCCGCATTAGTCACAACAATCACTATCATTTTACATCTACCCACGCCTCGAATTGAAGTGTATTTGGCAGGAAATGGATACGTATACATATTTGTTTTCGGTAAAAGTAATATTTCTTGCAGTTGGACTATCACATGTCAACGAAGTGTTTTCGCGGTGGAATAAGCGAGATCGCGCGAAACCTCATCGGTGACAGGTCAAATTGTTCCTTGCATAAAGCCTATCCAGCAAAACACCATAGTGCGTGCTCTCGCATAACCTCAGTTATGATTATAGATATTTTACATTTATAGAGCAAAGCCTACAATTAAAACGAAACAATATATTTCTTATGGAAACACAATAATTTCAGATACTAGATTTTTTTCGATCACTCCATTAGAATTCATCGCGTGGTAATATTGGATAAATTTTAACTAAATCACCGGTAGATCACGGGAAAAGTGTGCACAGCTGATTGCCATTTCCGACGGTGTATACGAGGCAAATTCACACGCTAATCCTAATCCCTACAGATAATACAATGCCTAGCAAAAACAAATTAGAACTAAAAAGATAACTAAAACTGTCTAATAATGTTTAATTGAAAATTTGACTTCTTTACTGACAAAATCGTCTTCGTTCACGGGAAGCGATACGATGTCGTTTTCTTACCCCCAGAAAGAAAGACTACATACACAGCAAAAATAACTTAGTTTCCGTTTTTGC